TTCCACTCTCACTAAATTATAGAGACTGAATAGAATCTGCACACTGACTATTCTACACGTAAAGAAGAGTTAATAACTGCTATTCAGTAAATACGACCAAAGATGATAATGCTGTAATATGACTGGAGGCCTACAGCTAAATAATACTACATATTGAAAAAGAGTACATGCTTTTGAAATACTGTGAAATGTGGTCTATTTTGCAGCTTGTCCTTAAGGCTGGGGTTGACTGCAGCATCTACATTTTCTTGTTTAAACTATTTCAAATGATCTTAAACATTTTCTTCATACAATTTGCTCTGTGGCTGTTTCATGAAGTTTTAGCTTGGTCCTTTAGTTTTGATAAAAGGAAAGTTGTAGAGTGTCTATAACTTTAAAGCAAGGGTTTTAAAGTGGTAACTGACAAAATTGGCTAAAGACCATTTCCAGTTTAATGTGAAAGAACCTCTCTGGGCTGCCTGAAGCCTTGGCCTGAACTCAGTCTGAAACATGGATGAATGGAACATTGACTCTGTGAAACAGGCCACATCACTCAACATGAGGGCCAGGCAACACTCGTGCTCGTGTTGCTTTGAGACAGCTTAGCAGGCCGCTTCTGCTTCGTTCTGCGTGCTCGAAATAAATGCTCATGATTTTCGAAATGCTCAACGCAACAATTCCCTTGCTTTGGGTTATTTGCTTTTCTACATTTTTTGTGTGTCCAATAGATGTTGAGAAACTTATTAAGTCTCCATTGTTGAGTACACAATCTGTGTGCAGCTCTGAGAGTTCAAGGACAGAAGCAGAAGAAAAAAATCAATCTAAAATAGCCTTAAAATTATGTTTTTGTGGCATCACAAAATTGTTTTTCACATTAACTCCGTTTAGCACCGTTCCCTTGACCCTCAAGTTAAGAGCCAAATTTGCATTTCTGATAATATGCACACAATCCTCCGATTTACTACTGTTACTGTTTTTGTAACAGTAGTATTACTGTTTTTGATGGTCTTCCTTTCCAAAGCAAAGATATAAAAGCAGCAAGAAAATGCAGTTATCTGTAATACACAAGCCTCTCTCAAGTTCAACAATACATTCATTTGAATATTAATTTGAAAAATCATAAAGAGGTCACAAAGCCAGCAGCACTTGCAGCAAGTAAAACAACTTTATTGTTGGACCAAAGCATTTATTGGCTTTACTGAAGTCGCACTGGAAGCAGGTGAACCCCTTCTTCAGTTAAAAAAAACCACGGCTTTTATTTTGCTATTGGAACATCCTCTATTAAATTGTATTTGTAAACTGCTCACCTTTTTAGTGTTGTGTGAAAGCACGAGTATCCTGTTCGAGCAAGTGCTGCACAAATAGCAGAGCCCATCCTCAGCAAGCCGCAAATCCAATTCTGTCTCCCGCTGAGACTCATGAGAGCCTCGATAGCTCTGTTTAAGCTACTGATAATATAAATCTGGTAAATGATGTTACATCATAGTTTTGTTTTTCTTTTTTCTTGTAGGGGCAAAAATGTCAGTTAAATAAATTGACCAATTTTTTATACTAAAAATAAAAAATGCCATGCACTCATACTTCCCAGGGTTATTGAGATATTTCCTGCTATTTCATTTGTCATTGTAACATCTGCATATTTCAATGATGAACTGTAATCAGAACACATCCCCTTGAGCATTGTGAAACAGTAATGGTAATACAAATTCCTAGAAGATGACAGATATTCAGCTACAACATGCCTGCTTCTAAGAAAGATTATGATTGAAAGTCCTCATGTCACCAGCTTGTGTGTCTGCCGTCAGATCTCAAAAGACGATTATAAGGTAGTGACTTGGTTTTGTTTGGTATATTTAACTTTTTTGTTATCTGAAAAAAAAAAACCCTCTTAAATGTATTTTCCTGGAAACAGGAAACATACAGGTAATCTCTCCTGGCAATTCTGTGCCAGGGACCACATAAAGCTCTGCCATTGTGCACCCTCTATTAAAGCCAGAAAGCAATCCACCACAGTTTGTCTTTTGTTGCTGCTCCTTACCAAAGGGGATTATGGCTTTCCTTTTAAAAATAAAAGGTTTGTATTCAACAGATAATGTCAGAAGATATGAGATGGCTGGTCAATGTCAGTTTAATGGACAAATGTCTTTCTGTTTCTCTCGGTTTAGTCCCTCAGATCCTACAGAGAAGTCACTCTTATACATACAAACACCATGGGGAGAATTTTTATGCATGTTCTGATATACAGTACACTCTTTTGTCTTATATATGCAGACACCTTAAAATGACACCTTTGCGCTGTTTTTTTTTTTTTTTACTGCACTGAGTCTCTCCAAGGGTTCAGAATAAGACTCATACCACAGAAGTTTTTTTGTTTTGTTTTTTATTTGCATTCTCAAGATGTTTCCAACTACTCATTAGCACCGAAATATGTGAATTAGTTTACAAATACAGACTAGGTAAGGCAGATGAAAAATATTAACTTCTACTGTACATATATATAGTACAGTAGAAGTCTTGTGCCACCCTTCATTTTGCCATATTTATTTAAATAGGTGAAGGGATTTATTGAAACATGTTACAACCAAATATATGTTGCATAGTTCCAGTTGACTTGGAATGCAATATTTGATATTACTGCCATTAATCTTCAACACAGCCTGAATTCTTATGAGCAAGGTTTCTTGCCATTTCTTTAGGTAGTCTTCGAGAATAGCTCTCCAGGCTTTTTGAAGGACATTCAAAGCTCTTCTTTGGATGTTGGCTTCCTTTTCCTCAGCTCTCTGTCAAAATGATCACACATTGCTTCAATAAAATTGAGGTCTGTGTTTCAGGAAGGCCAGTGCATACCTGATAATGTTCTATTTTGTGTTTCTCTATCCAGATATGCATTTGAAGTGTGTTTAAGGTCACTGTCATGCTAAAAAAAAAAACTGTTTCCAATCAGATGCTTTTCAGATGGTATTGCATGGTGGATCAAAATCTGATGGTACTTTTCTGCATTCGTAATTCAGTCAGTTCAGTTTTGAAAAGATAAAAAAGCACAGGCTAAAAACACAGACCCAAACCATAACAGAGCTTCCACCATGTTTTAGAGATGGCTGTACTGTTTGCCTATTTCCTGAAATCCTTTGTATATACAGATGATCATTTGAGCAACAATTTTTAAATTTTGATTCATTACTCCATCATATCTGTTGTCACCAATTTCCAGTCTAGTTCTTGTGTAATTTAGCATACCTCTGGCTTTACAGCCATCCACCCACTGAGGCCGTTTCTAATGAGCCTTCAGCTAACAGTAGATGGATCAACTGAAGGGCTAGATGCATCTCACAGATTCTGTCAGATCCATCTATTCTCTGCTGCTCATCCTTATCAGGGTTGCAGGGGTAGCTCCCATAGGACTGGTGCAGGGTACACCCTGGCCAGGTATGGATATGCCAAGTTTAGCTGAAAAAGTACTATTTAATGCATTCCACACTGTGTCATCTTTGGCAGTTTTCATGAATTGAGCTCAAGAAATGGGAAAAAAGATGTGTTTTTGTAACAATCTGACAGTAAAAAAAAAAAAGGTGCATTCCCCTTTTTCTTTTGGGTGCTTGCTTTACTGGTCGCCACAGCAGATCATCTGCCTCCATCTTCCCTAGTCCCATTCTGTCACACCTCATATCCTCTTTCCCTACAACCATGTTTTTGTTTTTTGTGTCTTTGTTTCTTTCTTCTTCTTTTTTTTACATTTCCTTTCTTTCATTCTGACTTTTTTTGTTACTATGGTCTTCCTCTTTTCCTCCTTTCTGATAGCTTCATGCTCAACATCCTTTGTTCACTGTATCCACTGAACAAAGGGTGCACATGTACAAAAAAAAAAATTCTGCCTTGCCTCTCTAACTGTCTGTAAATCACTCAACCTGAGCTGTCTCTCCGATGTACTCATTTCTAATCTTATCCATTCTGGTCACTGCCAGTGAAATATTAACATCTTCAGCTCTGCCACCTCCAGCTCTGCCTCCTGTCTTTTTGTCAGTGCCACCATCTCCAAACCATACATCACAGAAGGTGCCTGAAGAAACACTTTAAAACTGATTCTTTGTTGTCTGTTAATATTTGTGTCATTTGAGGTAGGTGTCTTCATTATGCTTGAATGATTTGTAGATCAGTGTTAAGTGGCTTAACAACCAAAATAGATTCCTCTGAAATGTGTCAGGTATAAAGACTGGACTGAAAAAACAAAACAAAACAGCCAATGTCCAAATGAAGATTTAGAAATACCTTCAGAAAGTCTGGAGAACTATTGCTCAAGATCATGGTCACTCTTTTAAAGAATCCTCACATATTGGAAGCAATGGAAACTATAAAGAAATTAGTGATGGCTCAAGAGTTTTGCACGGCACTGTACACGCTACTCCCCTTTACATTGTATTAAAAATTCCCTTTTACCTTTTTAAAAACTGAATTGAACACCTTTATTGTTATTAAATGAATACAACAAAATTGATATCTCCCTAGAGCGCACAGTAGTTCATTAACAAATAAAACAAATAAGGAATTTCATGTCTTTTGTGTTATTTTGTTTAATTGTGTCTTTAAGTTTGTGCAAACCTGTGCGGAGTATCAATAAGATCAATTTTCTTGCCTTTAAATATGGGAGGAAAAAAATTAAACCATGTGCAACGGTGCCCTCTTGTGGTCTCACCCTCCCTTGTATGTTGATTTAAGAGAAGTCCCGCCCCTGAGCACCATCATAACCAATCACTACTCAGATGTTGAGTTGAAGCTTTCAAGCTTTGGGTGCGTTGGTTAAAATTATGCTCCTCACTATTGCCTGTCAGGTTTTCACTGGTCGCAACAAACGCTTTTGTTCAACCACTGAGTTTAGGCTAGGGTGGAAAGCGTTATCATTGTCGTCAATATCACCTTTTAAAAATGGCCAAGTTATGCACGACGTGGTTAGAAGAGAATAAAATGCCTGAAGTATAAGCTCAGGGCTAATATTTCCCCATTTAGTTCGCCTCGAGTAACTGTTCTTCCAGCTAAATCAGTGCCACGCTCCTCCAACGTCCAAGGTTGATAATTAGCCCTATAATTATCAGAAAATTCAGCTTTTCTTTTTATTGGAGAAATGAGTGTGGTAGTGTAACTGCGTCGGAATTAACCTGTCAACATAATGTAGCTGAAAGTGGTCGGAGTGTGGGTTTTTTAGGTTTGCTTTAACTAGAGAATAAGGAGTTAGTGATAGTAACGATAACTAAGTTCTAAAACTGGCAGTGACTACTGTAGAACTAGCTTACATTTACTAACGGTTTACTCTCAACGTTACTCTAACAGCGACGAACCGTGAAGTGAGCTGTTTAACCGTTTTCTAAACCCCCAGAACCCTGTTTACTGATGGCGGTTTGTTGTGGTGTGTGTGCCATGGTGACACAGGGGTGGGTCTTTTCTCCTCTTTAGTTTTGCTGTTTTCAAGGCAACCGACCCATGCTGTGAAATCTGCCCATCATGAAATCCCTCAAGTCTTCTTGGTCATCTCATCTCCAGTATCGACCCATTACTGTGTTTGTACGAGGTAAGTTGTAATGTAATGCTGTTAGATTTCTTCACAACGGTGGTTCTTGCTCTGTGGCTCCCACAGCCCACCAGACTGGCTGGTAGTACTTGGTTGTTTGTATATCTGAACAAGTTTTTTCTTTATAGTACTGGAAGTCCTTGTTGTAAAGCAGAGGTGGTTAGGGGGGAAAGGACATTGATGCTGCCTGAAACTGTGGATCAAAGGAAGACTGTAGATTTCTTACCTGGCTTTCCCAAGGCACGAAGTTATGTTTTTACAGTATCTCTACAGAATCAGCTCCTTTTGGCAGCACTGATATTTGGGATACAGTGAACAGCAAAGTGGGGTGATTCCATGCAAAATCAGTTGCTCCTCCCAGTTGAATTCTCACGATTAGCTGTTGTTTTTAACATCCACTAGAAGTGTCACCACCTGAACCCAAACTTTAGTTGTTGTTTTTCTGTAACTGTCATGGAATATATGATAGTGTTAATACTGAAAGTGCGTTCATTTAGTCTCATTGACATAGAGTAACAGAAACAAGGATTGGTACACTGGATGTTGTATCTTTTTATCTGATAATTCAATCGTGGAAATTTTAAAAGTATATTTTGGGTAAACTTCCATAGATCATATCACCATGTGCACGGTGGCTGGTTCAAACATGTTTCATTTTTGCCTAGATTTTTAATGCAGGATTACGTTCTTGCTGTGTTTAGGCAATAGCAAATTCTTTGTTAGGTATATAAAGCCATAATCATGGTTAGGGTTCAAATACACTAATTGACTTTTCATTCAGAGCTCTGTTTTCCAGTTTGCCATGGTGACATGCCCCCTCTTTGTCCTCTCTCTGTCCCCTCTTTTGAATGAAAGAAGTGTTGATGCCGTGAAGTATACTTCCTATTGTTTGCTCTGAGGCCAGGCTGGAAGAAACCAATAAAAAAGGCAGTGGTTCCTCTCTGACCTCTTAGTACCATCTGCACCAGTATGTGCTTTAAGTTCTTTGGGGAGAGGTCTTTTGGTCTGTTCCTGGGGTTAGACTGAAAACTAAAGAGGCCAGAGCATTTTTTTAATCAAGGCTATGAAATCAGTTGGTTCAGTCAGTTCTTTTAAGTCACATTTCAAAATATACTTGTATAAGAAAAGCCTTACCTGATTTTACTTGATCTTAAGTCCCTTAACATTTGAATTCTGTAATTATTGCTGTTATTATTATTAACATATACTGCTATACAGCTATACTGTACTGTGATTTCTTAACAGTTGGTTTTTAGCACTGCATATTATTATCATTTTGCAAACCTTAGAGACACTGAACAGCAAGTTAACAGCACTGATGTAGGGTGATGTAGCTTAGGCTGTAGAGTGGGCCGTCTACTAATTGGAAGGTCAGTTGTTCGCTCCGGGGCTATTCCAGTCTGCATCTTGAAGTGTCCTTGAATCCCAAATTATGCACTCCTTTCAGAGTGTGTGTGTGTGTGTGTGTGTGTGTGTGTGTGTGTGTGTGTGTGTGTGTGTGTGTGTGTGATAAAAGTGTTTCAGTCTGTTCATGAGTTTAGCTTGTAGTGTAAAAAAGCCCTAAAAAAGTGTAGATGAAAATTATACATGCACCAGTCTATTTACCCTTTTGTTCTGCCAGAGGAAGCTGAAAATGTTGTTAGTATGTCAATATTATTGAACTCAGAGTCCGCTGGGAGTATGAAGTAAGAAGGTGCATAAAGATGGAAAACATTGTAACGTACAGGTTACGTGCAGGTAAGGCAGAGTATTGAGGCTGGATAGTCAAAAGCACATGGTCAAAATTAGGTCCAGACTTGTTGCCAGTTCTGCCAAAAAAAATCGCCTTTTTGCTTACAAAAGTTGCCAATGTTTTGCTCAATGAATGACAGCGTATTTTGACACTGCACAATTTAGTCAACCAGTCAACAGTCATTGTGGGCAGTGTATTATAATCTCATAGGAAGAAGTTTCCTAGTTCAAACCCCAGCTGGTGTCCTTCTGCGTAGAGTTTGCCTGTTTTCCCTGCCTTTTTGAATTTCCTCTTGGTACTTTTGCTTCTTCCTACAGTCCAAAGACATGCTTTGGTTAGGTTAATTAGCAATTTTAAAGCACTGAATGAATGTATTGTTAAATATGGCTTGTAGTCTAAAGTCCAATGCCAGAGCATTCCAGTTCAGTAGTATTTAAAATAACAGTAAAAATATTAAATCACTCTCTTGAGCGGCTCCTTCTGCATATTCATCCTGTGTCCTCAGTGCTCCCTGTGCCTCCTAAGGAGATTAGCTGCCATATCTTATTCACTAGGCGTTCCTAAACAGATCGGTGCTCTGTGGGGCAGCTCCACCTACACTTCTGTTCACTGTGTGCTCAAAATTCAGCAAGTGTCACTCTGTGAAAACATATATATTCCCTGTTGATTTTATGACAGCTTTTCTTCTTCTGTTCTCTCCTCTTCCTCCGTATCATCTATCCTTTTTTTTCTCTCACGCTGTCATTCCTCATCTCTGTCCTTCCCGAACATCCAGCTTACCTGTGCATCATACATGTATTCTTGGCTTGCCTCACCATCTGGTTGTGATTAGTTTGTCTGTAGCACCGAGTTTTTTCAGTCTCGTGTTCTGCATGATGATTATTGTCTCTTTACAATCGGTGAAGCCCCCTGTCAGGGATTTAGAGCAGCTTACCCCCCCCCCCCCAAATCTGGCAGCTGAGTTAAATACTTAGTTCTCCTGGGCATGAACATGGAGTTATGAGCAGAGTAACAGGTGAGTTCTTTTTGTGCTTCTTTTTCCTCACCAAAATGAAGCTCCTATAGATACAGATAATGTAAAAGCTTCTGAATTTAGGAATTACATTTTATGCTGTCTTACCTCATTTTAATTCTATTATTATTTCCTCCCATTACATGGATAATTATCCTGGAAGCTCTGTATCTTTTTAGTTTACTTTTCTGGGCTGACTGCATGATTAGTTGAATTATTAAAATTCATAATAATTGTATTTCGACCTCAGTCCTCAGTAGGAAATGTGTTCTTTTAATAATATTCCCCACCTTCTATTTCTCCAAAATGGTTGTAACTAAAGATCTTTATCTGTTCATCGTCTCTCTACTGACATTTGTGATGAAGTAGCAGGTAAAGTTTTTCTGATGATTCTTTCATGTAGAACCTTTTTGTACATAAATGCTGCATGAAAGGAGAGCTGTTGCTACTGTGTCAGCTAAACCGTCCTCCAAGCACTTTGCAGTCACATCAGGGTTTTTGCTTTATCTTTCTTCCCAGTGAATGTGCAAATCTTTCTTGACATCCACAGTTTTATTTCTACATCACATTTCAGACACTTTAAACTGCAAGCTATTGCTAAAGCATCAGTAAGCTTGACTTTCACATACAGTTTTCTTAAAAAATGAACAAAAATGTAATTTGACCACATGTTTGCATGGCTTAAATAATAGAATCTCATTTTGTGTGTAAAATCTTTGGTGAAGAAATTTTTATTATGGCTATGAATCTATTAAAATAAAATGAGCACTAAACTGTCAGGTGATACATATATTTGCATCACATTAATTTGTGGCTTGTGCAGTTTCACTTCAGCAACAGCCTGGTGGGGATTTGGTCCTCATTTGCCTGAAAATTCGTGTTTGTCCAAGAAGGAAGAAACCTTAGAAATAATACCATAATTACACTGTGCGCTCTAAGCAATTCTATTCTGAAATGACTGTTGTTGTAAACCTACCTCTCATGTTGTTTATGCGCAGAGCTGCGTGCTCTTGTTCCTTGTGGTCTAGTTTAAATGCATGGTGAGTTTGCCATGTTGGCCTGTGTGGAGAGTCGCCAGTGATTTGTGTATGAAAGGGCTCAGCGTGATGCGAGTCTGTGCATGCGCGTGCATCTGTGGGTAAATCTGAGTGTGTTTGTGTGTAACGTTTGTATGTTAGTTAAGAGATGAAAGAAGCACCAGGCTTCATAATCTTCTTTTGGTAATCTGGGATATTGATGAAAGAAGCAACCAACCATGGTTACCACTTTTCTTAATGGAAATGTGAGTGCTGTAGAGTGTGTACTTTACTTGCGCTTTGTTTTAAAATGTTAATTGCAAGACTTTGCTTCTGTCATTGATGCATGTTAAAGTCCATGACCCGGTATGCAGTTGTTATTTCCTGACCTGCTGGCTCAAAACCAAAATAATCAAGCTACATCATCATTATGAAATAGCTGTTCTGTAAGTGGAAGTGGAAGTAAGTGATAATTACACAGTGTGACTTTGCTGCTCAAGCAATCAAATCCAAATAGCTTAAAGTTTAAATCTGCATGGTCTTGATGTTCTTTGAGACCTGTTGGCAATTAGGAGGACTGCACCACCAAGTTGAACTCAGTTCTGCTCAGTATTAATTGTATCTTTTTATAAGCTTATTGTTTTGGACCTCCACAACGGTCCCAGTTTCTCACGTGGCCCCTTGGGAAAATTAATTGCCCACCCTTGCTCTAGCACATTGAAATGCAGCTTTGGGAGTGAGCCACTGGCTGTATAGCTGTCAGAGATGTTTAACTGCACACTCTGAAAACACAACTTGAGCTCATGTTGTGGAGTTGCCATAGTGAGTGTTGCAGCTCCAAGCTAATTCTTGGGAGACTTGCTATGTGACATTTTGAACTAGCAGACTAATCGAGGATCTGTTACCTGTATACTGTGTTTGTTTCCTGTGAGTTAAGCAACTGAGATGAATTCAGTAGTGTGTGTAAAAGCTGTACGGTGTGAGCAGATGGTACAGGATTTGAGCAGGGGGCAATAAAAAGAATTCTAAATCAGTGGTGTAAACACAAAGTTCATGTCGCCTTAGAAACCGGTTCATACGTGCTGCATTGTAAATATTCTCATGATATCCTAAAATATCACGAGTCAGTGTTTGAACTGCACATTTTCAAAGGAAATAGTCAGTCAACTAAGCTTTAAATAATCAGGAGCCTTTTCTTAAAGGTAGCAGCATCTAGCTGGTAGATTATATGTGTATTCCCATTCTGTCATCTATGATTACATTTATGAACATTTTTAATTATGTATATAGTAAAGGTATTAAGTTTTGAATTTACTGATTATTATTATCCTGGTCAAGTCTGTTTGTGTTTTATTGTCTCAGAGTTTGATCAGTGTTAAAACAGAGTAAAAAAAAGTCGTGTAGATGGCATTAAAAGCTCTCTCCAATGAGTTTGACTGTATTGTTTAGTACAATGCAAATAAAATAAAATACAAGCACTGATAAAGAGAACAGAAAAGCTTTTAGACTGAAGGATTAGACAATTTAGAACTTTAATTTTTGTTTTTTGTTTATTTTAATTGGAAATAATTGCCGTTACCTAAACCAAGCAAGTAAGCAAATAAAGAGTGTTGTAATTTCTTTCTTTTTTCATGGCTTTATTGTGTTTGTTATGTCTAGGATGTTTTTTGTTTGTTTTTTATCTGTGACATGATTTATTTTTTTTTGTTAAATTATTTCAATGGAAAATAGATTAGGAATTGGGGTTAGCCTCAAATCTTCTGCATTAACAAATCGTGCTACTCAAGGTGTGTTAACCTTGATTCATTGCAAAGTGTTACATGTAGTGAAATAAGTATCGGTTGCTTGTTTGTGTTTCAGGTATTGCATCCAAATGCTTCCTGTTCCTCAGCACTGAAGAGTAATCACTGAGTCTGTAGCTGTTACCTCTGGACTGCCACCAGCTCAATGACTTCTACCGCAATTTGTAAACTTCCTCCACCATGGTTTTGAAAGTGGCTACAGAGCCAAAGAAACTAAAAAAGATGCTAAAGGTTCCCAGGCCTGGCTGAAACAGTAACTGAAGTCAAAACAAAGAACTGAGGGAGGCTGCAAGGTGAATGGAAACAAGACAGAACACCACAGCAGGGGTTCTGTTCTGGACCCCTGCCCCGGTCCACTCCTCACCTAATAGCACTGCTATATCAGAGGATGAGTGGGATGAAGAGGATGAAGAACAGGCAGAAGAAGAGGATGACGTTTTTAGTCAAATGGATGAGAATGGTATCATTGGACTGTCAGAGGCACTTGAAAATGTGGAATTGGAGGAATGCAATTCAGATGGGTGCCCTGGATCCCTCACCCCAGAGGAGGCAGATTATAGTGTGGCTGAGAGGGACACACCGTCTGAGGAGATGATCTACAAGCTGAGTAAGCATCTGTCGCACCATAAACCAACAGAAGAAGATACAGGAAAACTGTCATCCTGTGAGCATTCATTTATAATTTATTAACTTTTTTCTTGACCTTCATTTCTTAGTTTCCACTCTAAAGCACTTGAATACACCTAATTCTGAGACCTGTTTGAATAACAATTGAATAATTGTTTTCATTTTTTTTGTTTTCTCATATTTTATATTTTCTAAAACCTAAAAATAATATGCTTAAGATGATAGAAAACAAACAAATCCTGACAACTGAAAAATGTAAATTCTGTCTTTGTTCTCGAGATACTAATTATTTTGTCATCAGGTGATTAAAAGAGGTCCCTGCTTGTTTGGTTCTACTGTAGAGAGTAATTTACAATTGTAAAATCTTTACAAATACACACAAAATTTTGCCTGTCTCCCCGTCATATTAGTCTCTTTGGGCAATTTTGAGAAGTCAAAACAAAACGGGATTTAGCCAAATCTAGTGAGTAGGATTGTGGTGAACACTGACATTGTTCAGAATATTTTCCTCACACACCTTGACACATAACAGTAACACTTTTAAAAGGTCATCGTGAACAACCGAGTGAATCTTGAATAATGGCATGGATCCCCTTGGTTCTACTCCTCACATTATGTGCCACCTTGGGCTTTAGACAATAAGGAACAAACAAGCAGTTTAGTACAGAGTTGTGGTCTGAGACAAAGCTCTCATCACTACTGATCCGTGAACCTGTCTAAAGCAGAGAAAGCTAAAAAATTGCAGAAGCGCTGGCGAGGTTTTTTGGGGAGGAGCGGTCCCCAACATGATGACCTTAAGGGAAACTGCCAAATTTAAAATAAGTTTGGTTGTTGATGGCTGGAGTCATGGAACTGATTGCGCTTGAAGACCAAAGACGGTGCACATTTGTGTGATTCATTAAAACTACACAGTCCTTTGTTGCGCAACACTTTTTTTGCTTCCTTATTATTTTTTCATGCCTTCTTCTTTTTGTAATTATAGATGAGTTAAAAACGTGGTCAGAGGATATGGAGGTGAGGCGGAGAATGGAGGAGCAGGTAGCAGAGCATCTTTCTGAGTGGAACAAACACCACGACACGACGAATGATGACAAAGATGGAGAAGAGAGAGGGAGGAGTGATTGGAGTAAAAAGAAATTTGAGCACACTAGAACATCAGGGGAGCTTGGAAGAAAGCTGGCAGGACTCGCTGAAGGATATCGTGATAAAGAAGAGAAAAAAGAGATCAGCTCAGGACAATCTTCTAGCGTTCAGCTGTATGCTGTGGACAGTGTCTCCTGTCCAGCCTCCCGTTCTGCCTTACCCATTGCCGCTTCCATTTTGCCCCATCGTCTGCATTTCACTGCCGAGGAATTAAATACTGCCCCAGGAATTGAAGCTGAAACCTTTCCAGAAATAAGCTTTACAGAAAGTTTTCAAGAGTCTAACAGTAGCCACGTGAGCCTCAACTCCAGTCCTCGCTGTCCCGAGATAAAGCTCAGGGCTTCACCTCAGCCAGCAGCATTGTTTTCTGAACAGGTCATCTCAAATCATTACAGGAGATTAAGTAATGGCCCTGGAAAAGAATCAGGAAAGAGAGATAAGGAGCATAGTCACCCCACTCCCACACCAAGAAAGATAAGGAAGCACTCTCCTGAGGCTGCATATTCAAGAACTCATTCCCCCGGCACAGTCAGGCCCAACAAACAACAGAACACACGTCGTGACAGGGACGTGGTAACGCCTAGAACCAGGAGCAATGCTGTTGCAGAGGACGAATCTAGGTAAAACACATTTTATTAACCATTTTATTTGGGCTTTCTTTTTGCTCTTTTCTATTTTCATACATCACAATTCTCTTTTTCCAGAAAGGGGCCTCTGAGTTACCACACACCAGACTTCTCGAAGGTCGAACCCAGAGTTCATTTTCCCAAAGGCGGTTACAAGCCCCCCAAGAGCAGGTCCTCGTTAACGAGGAAGTCCTTATCACCCGAGCCACCTATAGTCTTCAAATCCCCTGCTGATATAGTGAAAGAAGTCCTACTGAACACCGCTGGTGAATCTCCTACCTCGCCAGATTCTGACAGACAGGCAACCAGTGCAATCAACGCTATTGTGCCTCAGGAGTTCAGATGCCACCAGCAGGCCACCACACTGGTCAATCAGCTTCAGGTACTAGTAGAGACTAAGAGGTATTTCAGTTTGGAAGAGTTCTCTGTAAAATTACTTTAAACCACTAAAGTTGATTGAGATGGACAGAAGATATCTAACTTGTCCCAGTATTAAAATCAAAGTTGTAGTAATGATGGCTGCATTCTGCTTAGGGGAGGTACAGATACAGGTTCACTGACAGGGTCTGCTGGGACACGTAATTGAAGCTTCAGTAATAAGATCTGTGCTTTTTGTACTATAACAAGTCAAAATGTCATGAAGAAGTCTGAGTTTTTCCAGGTTAGTGTGAATGCCAATACTGACTGGACTTAAAGTACGAGCTTTCATTTCAAAAGGCGAAAACGTCACACAGGACGCACTTAGAATTTAATAATGTGTGAACATCAAACATGGATATGCCAGAAGGGACTAATATATTTAGAAAAAGTCTCATCTCAGCTCCCAGCTCAAGGTTTTAAAATGGGAAAAATAGGGGAAACGCATTTAAACACATGGCACATGAGACTCGTAGTTTTAGGGTGCCCCACTTTATTTCCTCTTTGTTTTAGTGTCACGGTTCAAATCAAACTCATCACAGTGGTGGAATCTGAATAATGGAGACATTTTGTTCATTTTTTTATTGAACGTGAAAATAAGACACCGATTTCTCTTCACTTAGTTTTAACTATAATATAACAACAACATACAAATACATTTTCTAGAATGAATTTTGTTTAATATTATTACCCAGAATGTCTGCTGTAGCGTTTCAGTTACTATACTGAAACTGAGCATTAAGACATCCATCCATTTATTTGGACAGCCAACAAAAGCAACAAAAGCAAATCCAAAACCAAAGTACACAGAGATATTTTGCCTGGCTGTCCTCATATGTTCAGCTTTTGTTTATGTTTGACAGCCTCACAGGATGAATTAGACTAAACAGGACCTAAATTCTGCTCCAGTCTTTTAGTCCTCTCTTTTATCGCCACCCCCATTTTTGCTTTATTCCCTTTCATTTTCATTTGTCTCACTTTTTTTTCCTCATGTCACATTTCTTTTGCACTGCTTCTCCTCACTTCCTTCTCCTTTATTTCCTCTGGCTGCAGGAAGACTACGACAGACTGCTGACTAAGTACGCTGAGGCAGAGAACACCATTGATCGTCTGCGTCTGGAAGCCAAGGTAGTTAATCTAGAGATCCAGCTATAATTTATCACCTTTTAATGGTGTGGATTGAAAAACAGTACATGTCACTATCATATGTAATTATTAGTGGTCTAACCATTAAGCCACTATAAAATATTAAAGTTAATACCAAACTTCAAAGTGATATACAACTTATTTACTTAAATTTTAGGCATTTATTGAATTTTTCTTGTCAACAAAGAGTAATTATGTGGCTTTCGATAGTTGAACAGCTGTGAAAGTACTTTCAAAGTAGAGCTTAAAATTAGAATCATTAGAATTATGAAATAAATTCATTATGTCACAACATTTATATGTCTATATTTCATTTTTGCAGGACAGAAATTTAGAGAATCAGCATCCCAGGTCCAGGCAGGCTCAGCGCATCATAGACAGAGCAGTATGTCATACAAATGATTACAAATCTCAGAAAAGTGGGATTTGAAATAAATACAGAAGAGGCAGGAGTAGTGCTGAAGTGTTCGGAATTGGGTCATTTAAAGATTTGGTGGCTCATTTCTGTTTGTGCTGCAGCGCTTCACATTCAGCACTAATTGAAATCAGCTTACTGAACTCCTCACCTCCATTTTCTCCCATCTCATTCATTACAAACTGAACCACCATCTGTTCTATCCTCCCCTCACCCAGGCAGGGTGGGAGGAGTTCCTTTACAACAAAATTTGCAGATATTTGTTAGTAAGTATTTTTTTCTGATTAGACATATGTTCCAGTAGATTTACCTTTTGTAGCTGAGCTTATAACCAGTTTAATAAGAAATCTGACTGGTTCCAGTCTGATTGATGATCTGAATTTAGGTTTTAAGTGGGGTTTTTGTCTTTCTGATTAATCTCTGTTGTCTCTTAATTGTATATTAAAGTGTCCCTGTAGGTGCCATGCAGCTGTTTACTTTTGCAATATGTAGGCTGTGTGTGTGTGGGGAAAGGGCCTTCTGAGAGCCGTTAAAGGTCATAAAGATTTACAGCTTTGAGTGACTGTCAAGCTCATTTTCACACTTTGGTTGGCTGATGACTGACTATGTTTAACTCATTTTTTTCCAAACTCTGTTATTCTCCCCTGCCCTTAATTACCTCAGTACCCTCCTTATGTGTTAGTCAGAATAGTTGTGAGGCCTTAGTGAAAGCTTACAACCTGTGGACACTAGATGGGAGTGTTTTCCTGCTGTGTGTATACTGTTTTTTTAATCTGACTCGCTTCACATTTCTAGAATGAGAAATTAGAACAAACACTGATCAAAACCTGCTGAAGTCTCATTTTGTATGGGTAAAAGTACTATACAGTGAAACAGTGTGTCTCTTACAAAATGTAGAAGTCCTCATGCAGACAGGCTAGGTATTAATTATTGAGAACACATTTGTTTTTGTTTTTCATGTTTCTTCCAGGTTAACCTGTACTCTGACCCACCAAATCCTGGCCACTGCGTGCAATCAGGACTAAACTGCGGTGCTTCAAAGTTGCTAAAATTTGATTTTCCTCGGGCTCAGAAACCCACGACAGATCAGGGTATCTTCATTTTATTTAATGGTTACTTCTTTGCTGCTAAATCTTGTATTAGTCAGTATCTTTAAACCGGGCAGCTTGCACCACAATTATCTGAATGGAGAAATGACTCTGCAGATATTTAGAATTTTTGGGTGAACTGTGTCTGGCTTTGATGATTGTATACAACAGGCATTGTGTGCATTTTCCTTCTAATCTGTTTGTCCATGTAACAGGAAGTTCAGCTACCGGTCCTACCGAACCAGGCTCTAAGCTTGGACAGCAGCTAGCCAATATTCTGTTCAGCCAGGCCGAAACATTTCTGCAGCAGGTAACTGGCCAATTAAATCTTTAGAGATGAGAATGATCCGATTTGCTGGCTGGTAATAATGGTCATTTAGGAAGTTAATCAATGATAAACCTTTTGATTTTTCATTCAGCTGCAGACGTTTAAGGATCTCCTTAAAAGCAAAAAACTTCAACCTTTTGAACAAACTGAGGTAAAAGCAACAAAAGCACAGCAGAATTCTCTAGGTTTTTAAACATCACATCTAATGGGAACATATATTGAATGGAATACATAAAAGTTCTTTCTTTTAGGGTATGGCTCAGCTTGCCGAGGGGCTCGAATCTTTGGAGAGGGGATACTTGTTGGCGAGGGATGAGCACAAACTCCTGCAGCAGCGAGGCATAGAAATCAGCCAGTTTGACCCAGAACGGTAATGTTGATGTCCAGCATTACATCTGAATACATTTTATATTTTGCATTTATGTGTGCTCATTACTCAGTTGTTTTGATTCATTTTTCTTTTTTAACATGTATGTTATGCATCAGGGAGTTAGAGGGGCTGATCTTTCAGTGTGGGCTGCGTACGGACGAGCTGAAGGAGCAGGTGGAACAGATGCAACCGGATCAGCCCACCTGGATTACTCCTCCCTCTCCACCTCCTCAACCAACCACACCATCTGCCCTCTCTGTGGATGTTGTAACCTTCACTCACCCACAGGTAGCAACAGCATCATTTTATTCTGTGTATGGCCGGGATTATTATGACTCTGTGAGCAGCATGGGCAAATTGTAATAAACCTAGTCTGTGTGGAGGAGGTATGTGTTTTTAGTGCCCTTGTAGCACAGTGAGTGTAGGGAATTGCATTCATTCACACTCTAGTTACAAGGCAGACATCTGCAGAGTGGTTGATTACCACAAATCAGAAGGTCAGTGGTTAGATCCCAGCTCCTCCAGTGTACTGTTATATGGAACTGTCCTTAGGCAAAATGGAAAAAGCTGAAATTGCACCTGTGAGTGCTGTGAGTGTGTTATACATAACGTGTTTAACTGCTTAATGTGGTTTGTAGTGGAAAACTTGCATTTTTATTTCACAAAATTGGACTATTTTTGGTTTATGATGAAATCCCTGTTCAGGACAGGATCACAGCTTTACCAGACTTTATCTTGCCAATTACTTTTCTCTTTTTCTCTTTTGAGGTCCTGCCTGTGCCTCTGCTCTCTGGGGCAGCGGAAGCAGAAGTGAGCTCAGCCTGTAAAGAGAACGATGAAGAGAAGTCCGAGGGAGAGGATGAAGAAACTCTCTACCTCAATCCTCTGAAGGGCAAAATTAAAAGTGTTGCAGAGGACTTTACCATGGCAGTGAATCAGTGAGTAGCTATATTTAAATGCATCAATATCATGAAATCTGATAAATAAGGAGCCCTGCAGCTGGGACTTTTTAATTATTTAACTGTTTCTCCTCCATCTGTTTAGCTACCGAAGCATCAAGGAGCTTCCCAAACTTCTAGAGCGTAGCCTGAATGAAGCAGTTCTCTCCTCTCCTGCTTTAAGAACTAACATGCAGTCTGAACACAAGGACAGACAGGAAACTGGAAACAATGAAGTCTGGAAAACTCTCTCTCAGAGGTTAGTCTCAAAGTAAAAGGCAAGATGGTCTGTATTTTCACCAGCAGCAGTTTGTTTTTTCTATTGGACAAAAAATTGAGTAAAAAAAAATACACAATTGGGAGGAAGCTAATTTCTCCGACCACTGGACTAAATTCTCTCCAATCATCTGTTAACAGGAATGCACAATCAGACCATCAGGGCTATTCTTCTGACGTGAACAAACAGCAAAACAGCAGGTCCAGTCCTCGCCCGGCCTCCAGCCGGCTCATGATGTTTCCTGTTTTTCGTCAGAGTAACATAAAGAAGGTAGAGGTGGGAAAGTCTCACAGCAGCAGTCTGAGTAGCCTCGGAGATGTAAAAGTGTCAGAGGTGAGGAGCTCCGAGGTTCAGGCTGGGGGCAGGAGAGTGTTTTCTCAGGTCAGTGATATTGATGGTCACTTATCCTGTATCAGTTCGAGTAAAACTGTTGCTTTATTATGGCCTGTATGGTGTATGGTTCTACCAAGCTTGAGTGAAAATGAGCTGATCATGTTTGGATTTGGAGCTGATAAATACTGAACAACAGTTAAATTTTACTAAAAGGAAGAACCTGGTTACATACACATATTGTTGGCACTATTAAAGCAACATACTGTCATATGTCTACACTGGCAGAATACTATTTATTGCATTAGCATTTTTAGCAAATTAGTTAGCTAGGTATAGCCTATTATATATTGTTTTACTCATGCATTTTCCTTGTGCTAATTAATATATTGTATATAATATTATTATTACTAACAAGCTGACAGATCAGCGCTAGTGATGTGCGATACCACTGATTTCCTTTCCGATCCAATACCAAGTAAAATTCAGGGTGGTATCGGCGATACTGATCCGATACTGATACTTTGTACAAAAACGTATTTTATTTATTGTATCTTTTATTGTATCTCAAATTACAGCTTCATAATGATTAAAGGGCATCAGATTACTTGTTCTTATCACTTAATAATGCACAATTATCATATAGAAATAAAAAAACTGAAGTCGTGCGCTATCGGAACATGTTGCCTGCCTGCAGCACTAAAGGACTCCGTGAGAGACGTCTGTCTCACCCTAGCAGCACCTGTCCCTCTCCTCCTCTTCACTTCGCCTCAACATAAGCTCGTCATATTCTGTGATTTGTTTTTGCATAGGCTTAGATTTAACAGTGTCAATTAATGACCAATCAGTGGTTTCTCTATGGGTGACTTCTTAAATACAGCTGATATATAAGTGCAAAATGCTCCCTATATCCTTGGACTAACTCAATCAGTGTATATGTGCACTATTTGAATTGCCTCTTTTTAACATGCCAAAGTTTAATTAGTTTCAAAGTAGCTAAAAAAATAAACTTTATTTAACAGCAGTCGCCTCAAGGTGGTTTATGCTATGAGATAAAGACCCTACAATAATACTAAAATATTTCTGTAATGATTAACAAAACACTTTATTTTACTAAAGATTTGACATATTCGTTGCAGCTGCCTAGTGTGATGATCAGTATTAATGTTGTATAACTTCTGTTTTGTAGGATGGTATCATCTCTCCAGAGACAGACAGCGGGTTTGTTGGTTCAGAGAGCAGCCGTCTAACTCCTGCAACTTCCAGTCCTCTCCACCAGAGGGCATTAGAGAGGTGAGTCCAACTCTGCCTCCCTTCCTCCATAGTGATTTACTGCACTAATAATTTCAGCTCAGGTGCCATCCCCCACCCCATAGCACACACAACACATTCTGATGTGATTTTCTATTGTTTTAAAGTGATTGTTTTTTTTCTTTGATTAAGTCTTCTGTGTTTTTGTTTTTGTCCATTATGGTGCAGCGGTGTTCCAGTGCCTCAGGAAGGAAGCACGAGTCTTCAGACAGGCCGAGTCTTTGCACCATCTCATTTTTCCTCACCGTTGCACAGTCATACAGCTAAAGACCTGATTATGAGCTCCCGACTTAGCCTCAGCCTCGACCAACCACAGAGATGCAGAAGGGCAGTGAGAAGACGCACCTCCTCCTGCTCTCCAAAGCGCTGTGTCAATCTGAGACAACAAAGGGTGGCGAGTGGCAGCAGTGAGTTTGGACTTGAAAGTGACGGCAGTGAGTTTCCAATTTGATTTACTTAGTAATCAGTAGTGCTCTCTCTCTCTCTTTTTGAGTATTTAAGCTGCTGACCTCCCCTTATTTCTACAGCTCGCATTGACTCTGAAGGTGAAAAGACTGACCAGTACAGCAAATCTATCAATTTCCTCGACAGCTCACACTCAAGCTCTTCCACCACTACTCAGCACCACCTTTGCGATTCTCCACGAGCAAGGAGTTCCAGTCAGAACTGCATGTGAGTGTCTGGATGGGACTTGAAGCAAACAAGTCAACAGTACAAGTGGAGAATGTCCCAGAAACACAAAGCTCTGAGAGTGAGGCAGTAGATAGTCACTCTACAGTGTCGCTGTGAATCCTAATGATTTCTGATGAATGACAATAACTGTTGCTACAATAATGCAGTAACATGATCACGCCAAAAACTAGTTGTAATGTTTTTATTATAATTTTCTTTTATGTATTTTATTACAGAATCGCCTGCTGTTGAATCAGGTTGTATATTAGGAGCTTCTGTTTCCTGCACGGTGTGGTGTTTCTTGTTTCTTTTCAGAATGCGTGTGCACCTACATCAATATTTGCCATCCATTTTTTACCAGCTGAATGGTTTAGTTGCATATTTTCCACAGTAAAGCATTTTAGAGGTCACGTCACAATATTTGGCCACAAAACTTGGTGTGGTATGATAGTGCATTAGTTCAAGCTTACATATGAACTGCAAAGGTGGATTATTTTGTAAAGATCCTTTTTCTGTTTTCCTCTAGTGATGCAGTCCAGATACTGCAGGCTGAGGTAACCAAACTGAAGGAGAGACTAGAAGATAGTCTGAGAAACAAGAAGCCTATCAGCTCTATTAGATCAGCTCCATCAACTCAGGATAACAGCTCTAATCAAAGCTCCTCTTCATCTTGCTTCAGGTTGTTTTTGTTTTTTTCTTTTCAATGCTCCACATAAAACCACAGAGTCAGTCTACTGTGATGGATTATACAGTCACTTGTCTTTGTTGCCAAGTAGGAGCACTAAAAACCGGATTTGTGTTTGCTTGCTTTGGGTGATATTCCCAAATTTTTCAAATTATTCCAGATGTCTAACAACATCTGGAATTTATGACTTTTTATCTGATGTGCTGCACTTTTGACTCTGTCTAGAAAGGTGCTGTATAAATAAAGATTTATTTATTTAATAATAATAATTGTGGATGCATAATGAACTATGTGATCTTATATTCTACGGCCTGATTTGGAAATTTCATAGTTATGTCACAAATGAAGTTTTAAGCATTTATAGCGGACTTGCTTTTTGTTGCTTGCTGTTAATTTAGTTTTCTTCCACTTCTCAGGTCTAGAGAGCAGCGGAGTGATGTCAGTGCAGGGAAAAGAGAAACACAGATGGTGGACGAGGTTGCGGAGGAGTCCACACAGAGACGAATAGCCAGGAGAAAATCTGCTATAAACCAACAAAAGCCACAACATGATTACTGTGAGTTCATCGTGATTAACAAATGATCATTAAAATCAAGGAGGGAGACGGAGTGATACCAGTTTATTCATTTCATTTAGCCATTATGAAAGCTTGTATGGTCAAACCGAAGCATGTTCACTCACAGGGACTACGGTAACAGTGTCGTCTCCTTTAAGGTTCTCATCCTGTTTTTGATTCTGAAGCCTGTTATGCTCATTAACTCCTATTTTTAATGGCAAGCCCTATCACTTATTGAGTCAGTGTTTTATTTTCAGTGACAAGATCGGCGCTGCAGCCCTGTGCACCACAGCCTCAGGTGTCCAGATGCACTCAAACATCTGCAGCACTAGACAGCTGCTCTTCCCACACAACTACTGTCTACAGCAGGCGAACACAGCACAGTAAGAACACCTACCAAACCACTGGAGACACAAAGACAAATTCAGTCAAATACAGCTTCAGAAATTTGAAATTGCAGTGGGACCTGTTCAGACATGTTAAATAAATCCATGTAGGTTCTCAGTCATCTAAACTGCAGTCTTGAGGGTTTGAGCTGAGGGAAACCTCTCTCTGTATTGCAGGGAAGCATCCTGTTGTTTCTGTGTCTGAAAAAGGAGATGAACCTGACAGCAGAAGAAGTCAAGCTCCTGTTTGTTCTCAGTGTTTGTCATTTCACAGAGCATCCCCTGAACGTGAGAATGAATGCCTGGATAAACATGTTTGCTAGCAAAGAGGGCAGAATCCAAGTGTCTGAAGTGCACTTTAATTTAAAGATGTTTTTAACCAATGTTAAAGCTTTATCTGGATTAATTTTATGGTTTGAATGAGTCGATCAGCCTCCATAAAGCCTCTTCTATGATGTCTCTGTACTGTCAGGACCAGCTGGTGGCGGTAGAGAGATGCTCCATTCCTCCACTTGCTGCCATCAATGTCCTCTCTGCGGACGCCTCGAATCATACAAAGTCATTAAGCCAGGTTAGAGACCATGAGATGCGTTTCAGATGCACAGAGCACTGAGGTTTAAATCCTTATCAGAAGAAGGATGTACTGTTATCGTTGTGTGGCTAATCCATTATTTCACCACACAAAGACAAGAGTTTAGTTGTGTGGAAATTTATGCCCGATTTCCACTTGACTCATAAATTTAGTCTGCAGTAAATGAAATGAGTGCAATTATTTTAAGTGTTAATGGAGCTCCTGGTCTGCTCGGTGGTTCGCAGACAGTCACAGACTCTCCGACACTTCCACACACATAAAGTACCAGCCAGCCCAGTCCCCTGATGGAGCAGTGGGGAGCAGGTTCTTTGCATCTGCAGCTCCACCTGCACTGCTGCAGTGCATGCCAGTGTGCCCTCCACCACTCCTGTAAGTGCGCTGCTCTCATAGCTCACACACTCATCTGACACAGTATGCAAAAATCCTAAAAGCCTAAAATTTTCATTTTCTGCTTCTTTTTTTGTTTTTGTTTCCCAGACTTTTAGATTAACGTGCAAATAACAGATTTCACTTATATATCCTTATTTTCTATTTAATTTTAAATTTAAAGATGACAAACTGTGTCCAGAATCCACACAGCATTATCGCCTCAGTCTAAAAACACAGAAGGAAGATTTCGCTGGCTTGACTGGCCAGGTCGTTCCCTAAGTGCACATGGCTGCGCTGAAGGGAGGTTTTCCCTCTTAGCTGAGATGTTTGCTGGATGAGGATTTGGGGCAAAATAGTGCAAGTTATGTGCAGTTTATTGAACAGTTTCTGATACATAACATTTTTCATATATAGTTTTGAGAGAATGTTACATAGAAACATCTTGTTCTGTCCTGATCCTTACTTACTTTTTACCATCTCCTCAGGTTGTACTCGTCCCCCCTCTACGTCTCTCCTAACAGAACTCCGATGTCTGCCGAGGTCACTGGTCCTGGGGAGGTGAGGAGGAGGACGAAAAGACGCTCACTGTCTGTTGACAGGGAGCGCTCGTTGGACAGCTCACTGAACAAAGCCATCAGAGCAGCTCGACACATGAAACACACCTCCAGGCACATGGCTGGCTCGTTGGCATCTGGACTGCAGTACCAGGAGCTGCTCACTCAGTCCTGCAGCTACTAGTGTGAACTGTCATCACAGGCACTAAGACTGAGAGTCATTAACTCAAAAGCAGCTGCAGAACGAGGCACGAGCCAAAAGAACTGAGTCGGACCAAAGTGAATATCTCAAATCCTCTTTGTAAGTTTTCTTTGCTGATGTTTTCAAAGATAGTTCTCTCCCCCGCCCTGCTCAGGTGGCCAAAGCGTGTATTTTTATCTGCTGGTAAACATTACAATAACTCTGTTTACACTATTATGTCTTATAGATCATATTTATTTTCAAACCTATGACGTACTACAGAGACCTGTATATTCTCATGAATTAGTTCTGCACTTTGAGCCATTTCTTGATCATGTGACACTAGTTTTCAGAAATCTGAAATTAACCTCAGTCTTATTTTAGTCGCTGTAGAAATTCATTTTCTGATGATGTAGAAACTCTTTCTGCTGTAAATGAAATGCACTCATGAGCCATGAGCTCAGTTTTAGATGGTCATTCTTCAAACCATAATCATTTGATGTACCAAGGGCCTCAGATGCTGGATATCAAAGGTTTTTTGTCTGTATAGATGATATATTTTAAAATGCGATGTTCTAGATATGCTTTTTGTACTTTGTTTTTTTATTTATTGCTCATTTGTGCCGATGTCGATCCAACGTCATTTTCACTACTCTGTAATGAAAAAAAAAAAAGAATGACTGTGTGTTGTTGTTTGTTTTAGAAATAATAAAAAAAAGTTCAGTCTTTCAGTATAATGGAAGCCAATTTATTAGACAACCTTAGTACATATTAGGTACACATGGAAGTATTGTTTGTGCTTCAACACTCGCAAACATACAATCCCAATAAGTTAAACAGTTTTTTGGACAGACTAATGTTTCAATATTATCTTCTCTGATAAATAATTTTGATATAAATCAACTGATTTGACAGCGTAAACCCTATACAACAGCAAATTATAATAAAAAAGAAAAAATAAACACAAGCGTTTGCATCACAGAAAACGCATCATAGTGCAATATACAACTGTTTGGCCAGGAAAGAGGCAATAGAAGGAGGAAAGAAAAGTGGCGAGGGGTTTCCAGGGTTTTTCTTTGTTTTGTTTTTTAAACTTGCAAAGCCATTCACCATTGGAGGGTTTTACATTGCACCAGAGGAGGAAAACAGACAAAGAAAATATAGATCTTAGTTCTTTTTCCCAGTGGACCACTAAACAGCTACAGCTAAAACACCACAAACACGGCGGCTTCACATTGGCTTTTTTTTTTTGTTTTGTTTTTTCGTCAAAGGAAAAGTCACTACTTCACAGTCAGAAAAATCACCATTCAACAGTGAGACGCTAAAACAGCAACATATAGCATATACACAACACTACTCAGTGCATGGCCCAATTAAACATCGTTACTAACCAATGATAAGACTTAATCTGACAGGATACAATACTGAAATACAACTGGCCCTTTTTGGAGGATTATTTATTAAATATCAGCAAGCAACGGCCTTTTTGACATTGAAACGTGACGTCTCTGCAGAGGAAAGGAAAAAGATTGTGGCAAGTAAATACTTTACAGTCTCGGCAGCTGGAGGAGGGATGATTCTGGCTTCTAACAGAGCTCCCTCTTTTCCGACTGACTAAGTGGAGCTCTTAAAATGAATACTTAAAACCAACAGATCTTGTTTTGAGTATCAAAAACTCAAAAATCAATACATCCCTGAACACTTTCTACTTTCTTCTCTGCTAGCCTGTAAGCTCAGTAGCTGGGACCAAGTTTACTTGAGCATACAAACTCAGCGGCCACTTCATTAGTTACACCTTGCTGACACAGGTTTGGACCCCTTTTGCTGCCAGAATTTCAGCAGGCCGTCTTGACCATGCCTACATGCATCAAGCGTCTGCCATATGACCTACTAGCAATACATTTGTGTTAATAAGCAGTGAGAAAGGTATCCCTAATAAAGCGGCCAGTGAAATTGTCTCTTAAACTCTTAAAAATCCTTGAAGAATAGTTTCCTTTTTGTGATGCTCAAAACAAAAAGTTTTTTTAAGCGCCATATTCAACCACAACATTTACATGCGGCTCTCGGAACATCCACACTGGATACAAACACAGTCGAAGCATGCTACTGAATACGAACATCTCAAATGGGTAAGGGAAGGGTGATAGGACAGACTCCTCTCTGATGAAATATATCTATGCATATATCTATAAATTGCATGGTGACTGATATATTTTTTACAATATGAACCCCTCAGGCTGCACATCCCTCCTCTATCTGCTAAAGGTAAAAGTCACACCATGGAGGTAACCGAAAGAAACGAACAAGAGAAATCATCTACCTTTTACACATCCTAGCAGGTTTCATAGCGTACAATATTACATTTTGGTCATTTCAATTTTAAATGGCCTTCTTTTCTGATATTTAATTAATTTTAAATACGTTTATTTAGTTGCATCCATTGTAAAATATGAGAATACTTGCAACAATTTTATTCTTTGATATAACGTATCTCTCTTTTTTTTT